GTACCCGTGAAGAAGATCAAATGAATATTCTCAAAAAGGTAGCATGTCTTCCAAAGATAATGAGTGAAGATGTAGTTCCACTGAACATTTCCCCACTTATGAGACATCATCCCTTTACCATGACTTTAGGAAAATTGGGTTAAAATATTCTTTGTAGATTCAGGAGATGTTTGGCTTTCACTTTATCGGAATTTAATGCTATGAATTTCAGTTGAGGCTAATGGCATTTTGAGGAAAGACAGCATTTTCAACAGTTCTGCCGATTTTTCAGAATGAAAAATTCGGCTGCCCTTTTCTACATCAATCAAGTGAGGTTCCATTCTTTACGCGATTTTGTTCTGTGCCTTAGTTGAGCTAATTTGTTATCAGATCATTGTAATGAAAAGACGTCTAATGCTGATTATCCACTCAGCTTCAATGAAAATAGTTGCGTGAAAGCCCACGTCACACAAAAAGGAGCTCGTTGAAAAGATGAAATGCTCCAACGCTGCGATGGAGATGTTCCTCATGTCTCAAGTTACAGCAACGGAAACCAGAGCTGATGTTTTCTTCTTAAACCGAGATTGCAACAATATTTATTAGGCTGACGTTTCGGTGCCTTCACCTTTTTCGGAGCCTGGAAAGACAAAAGCCACTTGAAAAACCATCCGATCAGAAACTATTTCAACCTACAGAGAAAGTTCAAAGGGCGTGGGTTAGTAGGAAGCCGGAAGTTGTTAACTACCTGTGGGATAGCCGACCTTTGTGGTCCACCGATCACCGCAAGGAAATCAGAGCGTCATTATCATCGATGGCTTGCTTGCTTGTCACCTCTCAACTGTCAAACCTCTATCAACCGTCACCCCTGTCACCGAAACAACTCATCTACCGAATAGCTAGAGGCAATGAAAGTTGCGTGAAGACCAATTTTAAGCGGTGTTTTGTGAAGCTTAAAAGGAAGGAGGTACAAAATGCCTATCCCCCTAAATGTGGCATTTCATTCCATCGATCATGAAACTTCTAGAAACTAACTCAACCAAAAAGAAAACAAAACAATGATTTGAGCAGGATAAACACCCTCTTTCAAATGATATCGGTTATGCGAAAGTTCTCATTTTCTCAACCTAACATGGTCTGAACAGTGAACCTAAAGTGAACCCTAATAACAACCGAACTTATATTCCAGTGAGCAAATCATTCTCACTCGAAATCTCAGTCGAAGCTGTTTTTAGAACACCGTTTTTAGAACGAGAATTTCGAATGAAGTGCGAATGAAGTGAGTTAAAAAACCAATTTTTAGGACGTCGGAAATTTTGTTACCAACCTAAAGCAACAGGTATTCCGAAGTGATAAGATATGGCGGAACCAGTATGATTGAATAACGGAAGACATCTGCAGATTCAATGATTCCAGCCAAATGGTCATATTGGATGAATAGAACTGATATTAAAAATAATAAACTATAGTTGGCTAAACAGTGGATAATCTGTATCCACAACATGAAGATGTTGCCGCGCCCGCAAATAGGAAGAAAGAAATGAGGAAGCTAGCCTGCAACTTTCTTCGGAACCACAATGATGCACATTGTCCATAGAGCTTAGGGCATACACTTCGCAGAACAAACAAGTGGTTAAAGAAAGACGAAAGAGGTTTAGAATGAATAAGCAAGAAGAAGGAAGACGAAGAAGAAGCGCGAGAGGAGACGAAATCTGAAGACAATGAATAGCTCCCAATTATCGAACTATCCATAAGTTACGAAAGCATCATCGAAACAAACTGCATGGGAATTTTATCACTGAACAGCAGGGCAGCACCCAAACGAGGCACCTCTGAGTGACACCTGAGCGTCTGTGATGGGGAAAAAAGGAGCATGTCAGTGAATACGAAACGTCCAGACAATCAGAGGAAGGCTGATGATGTCTGGAACAACCAGTCCAAACAAAAGAGGTGATGCAGCGCCAAGTAGAATACTATCACAAACATGTTCCGAATTCCGGATATTCACCCACACAGGACAACCAATCCATTCATTTCTCCATTGTCACTGATGGGAGTTTATAACGACTCTTAGACCACCAACTTAAAAATGCCACTTCCAGGTGAAATTGGTTCCTGATATCGGAACTCATGATTGGCTCTCTAGGAGAAGACATAACCCTTTGTAGGGACAAGCAACTCAGTGCATCTTCTTCTTATCACTGGTGAATATTACATAATACTGATATGCATGAAAGTTTAACGGGAGCAGAAAAGCAAGGATTAATCGGGCTGGTTGGGCTTATGTAGGCTCAGCACGTCTTAATGTCCTACCCAGAAAGTTAAGATAAGGATGTATTTGTGGGAACGTCCTCGCACCACACTCATCTTCTTAAGAACGACTTTCTTGCTGAAAGTTCATTAAACGACGCACTCCTCCAACGCTTTACGTCGATTCATCAGAAAAGAATAGCGTTTTACGATCCTTAAAATTGAAAATTAAATTGGTGAGAGTATGCGAATTACATTCCACTAGAAGAGGGCGTTCTTGAGTTGACGGAACTAAGCTTTAGCCTCAGTTGGAAACCCGGCTTCTGTCTATTGTCTTGTGGTAGTTAGAGAGCCCTCGCATTCAAACGATTCCAATCAGTACCCCGAAAAAATATGATCTGGTAATGGGATTTGACGGCGGAAGACATGTTTCCAATTTCTTGGATTGCTCAACAACGAACCCGGAAGTTGTGGATCAGAGTCACAGTTTTCTTCAAAATGCTCGTCCTCCTTAGCTTATTCAGGCTTTGTTAGTAAATTAAGGAAAAGTGATGAATAATAGTTTACTAAACTACAAGTGCCTGTCATCACTGAATACGATTCGTCTTCAATGAATCAATGCGGAGCGTTCGAAAAGCAGCTTGCAATCCTAGATAAATTCTTCTTCATAAGTGCACTTAGAACAAGGGAATTTCAGCCAGTGGTGAGAAAAAAATTCCCTGATGATCTAACCAGATTGGATGGTACCAAGTCTCCAACTATTCTAACAATTTCCGCAAAAAGTGAACGCATAAGCCTTGTTCTTCTTACGCTGTCGATCAAAGACACGATTATTGCACACATTTTATAGTGGAATCAACTCTCTCTCTTCCTTCTATCAATAAGGTCCAGTGTCCAGCACATAATCGCAGTTCCCAAAAGACTTCGACAGATCATCTCGAGGAACGAAAACAATAGACATACCTCAAACATGAAACACACCGAAATTGTATGGAAAAAGACCGAAAATTCAGAAGATATGTTATTCTACAATTATGGCAAGTATATAAATGCGATATGAGATGGTTAGAAGGTGATTGTATGAGCAAGGAGTTGGACGGCTACAATTCGCTTTTGAGAATTACCTTAGAGAGAAAGAGCAAGGGAGGAAGCTAACTCGAATGCTTCCCGGGACATCTGTTGCACTACGACATTACAGCCGAGACCACATATGCCATTGAGAACAGAAAGTGGACGTGATAAAGTGCAGAGTACACAACACCCCCAAGCAGTCACCAGCTCAGAATGAGTCTCACAGTAAGTTGGTTTGAACTGAAAATATATGAAACAACCGAAACATTCACAGGAAAAGAAAGGGGTTAGAAAGTCACGAGGAGCAACTGATAAATTTCTTCATAAGATAAGTTTCTCCCCTTTTCTGGTTTTTGATCTCATTTATCGCCCGCCAGCAACAATATTTCAGTCGATAAAGCATCATCTTCAATTGCAAGTTGAATCCTTGAGAATTCAGGCTTTTGTCAGTCAAGGGTTGAAAAATTGTTGCAGTCTCCTGGGTTGTGCAGGCCCTCTGTCCAGAACACCGGCAGTTCTCACAATTCTCACCGTACGCCTGCTAAGGTACGTTAGGACGGGAAAGGAAAGGATAGCTGTTCACGACAGGTCAAAAGCGCAAGGAGGCCAAATTAAGAATTCACAAATCTATTCAAAAACGGTCAAGAAATCGGATCAAAAGCGAGAAACGACCTCAGAGTACACATCGCCTACCATGGCTACTTGACCTCTCTTCCTACTACCATAGATTTAGCAGGAAAAGAGGTCAAGTATCCATAGTAGGCGAGGCATGCTTCGGAGTGAGTGGAGCCAGAAACGAAAATCTTAATAAGCTCTCGAGGCAGAATGAAGGAAATTGCTATCGATATTGCATCAGAATAGCAGGCTTCAAGTAGAAGAAGGCGAACAAGTTTGGCGGAGTTTAGTTTGCGCAAAAGGTAATTTACTTGGCCTGATTAGGTAATGGATTACCTACGGATGTTATAAAATGTTTAATTCTATTATTTCCAAAATAATATAGTGCAATTATAGATGAAGAAGGTGAAATACAATAGAGCCAATTCCCCAGGTCGAAACAGAATTAGCGTACGAT